CGCCGCGTCTAAACGTCTCGACTACTCGCCCAAAAGAGACCTTACCTTAAGAGTATACTATGACCACGGTTTCATTTGTCAGAATAGTAACTAAAATTAGCCAAAGAACGTAACTTCAAGTCGAACTCTGTATATAATAGTTTTTTAATCAAATAACCCTTAGAAGAGGAAGAGTAGAAATAAGAAAACAAGAAGAAGAAATAAAGAAAGAATCACAACCATTGCTTATTTTTTGTATCTCGAATCTTTATTTTATCCTATCATTTTGATTATATTACTTATTTTTTGTTATTCTATGTGCATACGTACTCGTATAGTTAAAAAGCTTTAGCCGTTTTCAAAGCTATATACGTTGAAAGATTTAATAATATGTATACATGTAAAAGAAGAAGAGTAGTTGCTTCTAACGTAACGTATATTTCAATGTAACTTAATATGTGTGTATCTTGTTTATGTAATTTACCGACCAACTGACCAGTTGAAGGAAAAAAATTAAATACCATATTATTCAGAATGAATCAGGGACGGCTATACAAAAATTTTTACAGTCTCTTTTCGAAATAAAATAACTGCCACCTAATATATATATATAGTGCTTGTGTTCGTAAATCCATTTAATGATTGCTCTTTCTATTTTTTATATATATATATATACAGGGTATCCCCGAATGGAATGAAACATATTAAAAACTTTTTTATTTTCAACTTTTTGAGAAAACGTTATTCTTTATAAAAGTTTTTGCTTTGGTGTATAATAATTTTTATTTTTCTTCAATCCATCCGAAGACTCTTTTAAATAATTTTTTAATAAAGAAATGAAATTTATAAAAATGAATAATCCTGTTATACTACAAACTTCATTACGACTACGAAAAATTTTAATCGAAACATTTTTTATATAATCTTTCACTACCATAAGAGTTAGATACTCTTTCTTGGTTTGTTCTAATTCCTAATGTAAGTTTTATTCTCATTACGTTCCCCAAAAAGTATCTAAACATAAAAACATTAAATAATCATTACTGATACGCCCAAAACTGAAAATGGATCAGCCGCTAAATGTGTCTAAAGGAGTCACTTACTCTAGAAATCATATTTAGTAACATAATACATGATACGAGTATGAAAAGCCTTGCAGAATAACTATAATAATTATAAATAAAATTCTAACTTATGACAGTCCAAATCTTTAAAAAACTAGGTGTACATCATAATTTTTAAATTTATGTATCTCTACACGCTTACGCTTTATACGCATATTTTGTTTACTTTTATTGTTTTAACCGCCTTCTCGTAATTTATTTACAAGAATCTTTAATCTCTAGTCTCTTTTTGTTATTTCTAAAATTCAAATCAAGCAAAAAGTTACTCTAACTGTCCTACAGATTACATTTTCCGAAGCGATCACTTAAAAATTTTCAACAAAATGAGCTCTCAACCCTCGCATATTAATTTAAACGTCAGCGGCAGATCTACTGAACACTTCGCATCTATACAAATGTATAGTGACACCGACGTCTTTTGGTATTTTGGTCTTGAACAAAAACTCCTAACTAGGTCTCATATATAAACAAGAGCATTTCCAATAATAAAATTTAGCCAGGTGCAATAGTATTTTGTACAGTAATTGTTTTAAAATATATAAAGTTGATCATTTATGTTGATAGATTAACGCCACGGCTGATTCAAAGCAGGGGCGTGCGGTCCATGAAAGCGGGGGAAGCATCGCTTCCCTACACTTTGAGATTTAAAAATAAATATTTTTCAGTTTACAATGCATAGAAATTAAAATTAAATTAGGTAATATATTTTCTCTGAAACATTACGTAAACTTCGTAAATGTGATAACAATTTATTGGTGTAATGTGTAACCGCACGCACCGAAAATTAATTGTGTAAACGCCCACACCATATAGGTACTTCAAGTCCGTCTACAGAAGCGCCTCTTGAAAAAGCCGGCTCACCTTCCAATTGATTTCGCTTCGTGTTATTGACCCTGCTTTGCTGCGACACAGTAGTCAGTCTGTTTGTGCACGTGAAATACGGTCGAGAGGCAGTGATTTTTACGTCGCCTTACGCATATTGCATTTCGCACTGCGAATCGACGTGTGAGGAAAATCATAGACTTCAAATAGATTTCGGTTTGTTTTTCGTAGTTTAATTTTCTTTTTGTAAAATGGAGGAACTATGCACTGTGCCTGTAAACAATAATAATGTGGTAAATTGTGTCTGTATTGTGTGCTCTTTATTGAAAAAAAGATTATTAATTCTAGTAGATTAAAGGATCTTATCAATTTAGAGACAAAAGTAGAAAAGTCAGCAAAGATATTTACCGGGCATTTTCAGGTAGGGTTTTATGAAAAGTATAAATGGTTCACCGGCTGCAAAACTTTGAAGAAATTGGTTTGCTGGCCTTGCCTACTTTTTAATATAGCCGAAAAAACACATCGGTATTACAGACCTCAATAATTTCCACAAAAGTGTAAAACGACATGGAAATAGCAAATCTCATATAAGTGCTACAATTAAAGATAAAACATTCAGGACCTATCGCATTGAACATAGTTTGGACAATCATTTAAAAATAAGCAACAAAATTCACAATGAAAGGGTAAAAAAAAATAGGGACGTCTTACAACTATTAATAGATGCAACTTGTTTCCTGGGAGAGCATGAAGCAAGTAGATCCGCCAATCGAGGAGATTACATGGACCTTCTAAGTTTTTTAGCAAAATACGATAATACCCTAAATAGTATATTACATTACGAGTGTGGAAAGTGACATTTTTTACACGAGTGAGAAATATTGTCGCACGAGGCACAAGCCGAGTGCGACTATCACACGAGTGTGGAAAATCACTTTTCACACAAGTAATTTACAATATTTTTTCTACGACCACAAAATAATTTTATCAAAAAATGTAAAATCCGGTTATTATTGTAACTAATAAAATGTATTTAAAAAAATATACAACAATAATCATATTTATTCAATTTTCATATTTTCTTAACAAATAAAAAAAAAATAAAAAACAAAAAAAAATAAAAAAACAAAAAAAAATTCTGGCATCGTCAGGATTTGAACGCGGTCGCTCGCCAGGTCTTAAATGGTAAATTTAATAAGTTTGACACTCTAACCTTCTAAGCTAATAGACCTCACGTCAATTAAATGATCTAATCGGTTATGTGTTTAACCAGAATAAAAAGCAAACATATTTTAGTTATTTTAAAATTATTTTAATAATAATTGTTAAAGATAAATATCTAGAATCTAATTTATAACAATTTCAATAATTTAATAATCATATCGAGTTTAGTATTAATATGAATATTACATAGATCAAAATAAAAATAATGTGTTTGACATTTTGTGAAAGCTGCTGCGGAAAGTAGCATATTCGTATACGGGTGGAAAGTAATTTCTTATTCATACGCGTGTCTCAAATGTCAAAGTTAATAAGTTTGACACTCTAACCATCTGAGCTAATAGGTTTTACGTTAATTGAATGATCTAATCGGTTATGTGTTTAACCAGAATAAAAAGCAAACATATTTTAGTTATTTTAAAATTATTTTAATAATAAATGTTAAAGATAAATATCTAGGATCTAATTTACAACAATATCAATAATTTAACAATCATATCGCTTTTAGTATTAATATGGACATTACATAGTTAAAAATAGAAATGTGTTTGACATGTTGTGACAGCTGCTGCGGAAAGCAGCATATTCGTACATGGGTGAAATGTAAATACTTATTCATACGCGTGTGATATGGGTCACTTTCAATAGGACTATATAGTGTGATATGTGTCACTTTTCTAAGTGGTCGTAGGAACAAATCATTTTCTTGATTCGACGACTTTCCGAGGTACCTCAAACAGAATCCAAAATGATTATTAATTAAATGCACAACCGACATTAAAAGTGAAATTAAAAAATCACCTTTCGTATCAATTGCGCTTGATGAAATCACAGATGTAGCAAACTTAAGTCAATTATCCATTGTTGTGCGATACGTATTGGAAGGCATTTCTCAAGAGCGATTCTTAGGATTTTTGGACGTCACTAACGAACGAACTGCAGATGCATTGTTTAAAATTGTTTGTGACATTATTTCAAGTTTAGAATGTGGTTCTAAGCTTGTTGCCCAGAGCTACAATGGTGCTGCCGTAATGGCTGACCATTTAGGAGGCCTTCAAGCTAAAGTGAAAGAGAAGTTTAAACATGCAATTTTCGTTCACTGTATAGTACTACATAGACTTAATTTGGTTTTATCGCGAAGCATGGATAATATTAAAGATTACAAAGTTTTCTTTTCGACGCTTAGTGGTTGGCTTCCTTCTTTTTAAAGTCATCTAAAAGAACTCGCGCTTTGGACATTCACGTTCAAAAAAGGTTTCCAAAAGTTGCTCCGACGCGATGGAACTACAATGGACGTTTAGTGCAAACAGTGTTTTAATACCATGATTCTTTGATACACTTTTTTCAAGACGTTTGGGATAATAAAGAAACATGGGCTGCTAAAACTGTTACTGCTGCTAAATGGTATTTGCATTGATCTTAAGTATAAATAAATGTTAACTGCTGTGTCAACTATGCGAAAAAGGTATGAAAAAAATAAAAAAAAAACTTCAGTTAATTTTTTTTTACGTTTAAATAAACCAAGGAAGCTTTTCAATGGTAAGTTTTTTTATAGCTTCTAGTATTAAACTAGGTAATAAAGTAATAGTAACACTTCAAAACCCAATCTCGAATATCCGTAATACTGAGGAAAAAAAAGCAAGAATTTGACAAAATTTTCGTCTGCGGCGCTGTGCTTACTGGCCTGCGGCGCTACGCTTACTAGCCTGCTGTATTTTTATACAATCGCTTCCCCTTCCAAAAATGTCACCGCACGCCACTGATTGAAATTACCGTAAACTGATGCTACTTCGATATATTGTAGAACAAATTCGACATCTTGTTTCATGACAAAAAACAATAAATTTGTTTCAGATAAATTGCAACCTTAATATGCATCAAAAAAACTGGGAACAGAAGAAGATTTGGAAAAGGCTGTGTACGCTGAGTCAAAAGGCTACTAATGAAAAGATCAAAGAACCACTAGTTACAATTCTAGATAAAATAATACAATCTCGTCCATTATCAGCAGGCCGTCCAACAGTTCTGTCAAAGGAAGATAAACATATAATAGCGAAAACGTTGGGAATAGTCAACAACTGGGGATTTCCAATGACCAATGCATATATTGCTGAGGTAGGGCACTCTTTAGTTACAAAAGAAGAAAGGTCTGTTCAGGAATGGAAAGAGAATATTCCTGGTTATGGATATGAGTAGGGAAGACAGCAATTTTTAAGCATTTTGCTTAGAAGAGCTTTCATTTGATACTCCCACTATGACTTTTTCTTTATTAACACCTGTTTTTGGGTCACTATTTTTCACAACTTTTTAAAATTTCAATTGTGAACGTCAAGTAGACAGACGGTTACCGAGATTCCATTTTTGCCACCAATGTTAAATAAAAAATATTAGATTATGACTAAAATTTATTTTTTTCTAATAGTAGAAGTCCTTATTTATCTAATAGTGAACTTTTAACTATACCTTACCGTGCAAATTTTTGAAAAAATTTTTTTTTTAAATGTGTTTGTACAGTGCCTTACGAGAAAGTAAGACATCAACAACAATTTTCGAATTATAATTAATTTTACTATTATTTATTGATTAGATGGAGTAGAAAAAAACTAAACATAAGGTTTTTGAAATATTTAGGTTTTGTTTTTTACAATAAAATATATAGGTTACCCTGGAATTTATTGAGAAATTAATATTAAAAAATCACAAAAAAATTTCAACTAGGTTACTTCAAATTTTTTTTTAATATTAATTTCTCAATAAATTCCAAGGTAACCTATATATTTTATTGTAAAAAAACAAAACCTAAATATTTCAAAAACCCTATTTTTAGTTATTTTCTACTCCATCTAATCAATAAATATTAATATAATTCGAGAATTGTTGTTGAGGTCTTATTTTTTCTCGTAAGACACTGTTCAAATACTCACATTTAAAAAAAAATTCTCAAAAATTTGCATGGTAAGGTATAGTTAAAAGTTCAACATTAGATAAATAAGGATGTCAACTATTAGAAAAAAAATAAATTTTAGTCATAATCTAATATTTTTTATTTAACATTGGTGGCGAAAGGGGTGGCGAAAGGACCTTAATGTTTCTTTTTGGGAACAGAACACCAAAAATATATTAAAAAACTTACAGGAATAAAAACTTTTAATTAATTGCCTAAATTTTTGATTGTCGAGCAATTTTAGTAAACAAACCAATAAAAATTCTAGTCTACGATTCTCCCACGAAATTCCTTATCTAAGCAAATTCATTCCCTTTCTAGAAACAAATTAAATATAAACGAACAAAACTAACAACAATCTTTATTATTAAATTTTCTCAATGTCTTGCAAGGATATCTCTCGTAGTTTTCAAAGAAAAAACTAGACTATAAGATTACAAACTAACAGGAATTCTGTGCAATTCTAAACAAAGGTCGGTGTTTGGTAAGCATGCTCGTTAGTACAATGACACTGCTGTTCTCAAAACAACAGTTCGAAATTCCGAAAGAGAAATAAAAAGGTATACATTTACAGAAAAAAATCAGAATCACACATATGTATATATTATAGGGTGTTCATAAGCTGATTCTTTTTTATTAATAGGGTATGTAATTCCACAGAACAAAATTTTCAATTGATATTTTTATTCTTTAACTTTAAGATTAGAGAAATACTGGGTGACAACTGGATCAAAGTAACGTTTTTTTTTTTTTATTTATAAAGCGATTTGGACGGGGATTTGTATCAAATTTGGAATAAACGTTTTTATTGCCGGTGTAAATGTAATTGTTACGGGCTGTTATACCGTGGTCTTTCTTGGTTATTACTACCAAACGTTTCAGCTGCAACTGCTGCAGCCATCTTCAGTGGCGTGGACGAAGTAGTCTTCTCGACGTATTAACTGCAACTGAATCCTCCTTTGCTCCAAATGTGGTATTTATATGCGTGTCTGCGTGCGCTTTTTTGGCGTTCTTGGTATTAGGTAACGTTGTTCTCTCTTTCTTTCTATTGACGTTCTTTTGATTTTTGTGTATTTCTATAGCCTCCAAGTTCAATGTGGTCGAGTAATGTATTGATGTTGATAGTAGGTCGGTGGTTTCGAGAAGTATCTTGTGTTCTCCATCGGATAATGTGTGTTCGGCGACTGCAGACTTTTAGGTTTGTCCTAAACGACTACTTCGTTTGTGCTCCGTTATTTGTATGCCAATGCTTCTCTTTATCCTATGTATATTTTTACACAAGTGCATGTAATTCTGTAGACTCATGTTTATGTGAAAGGGTCTCTGCGGTCTTCCACTGTTTTGAGATATTACCTTATTTGGACAGTGCTGATTTTCTTTTTCTTTAGAATTTTTCCAATTGGGTCAGTAACACCTTCCTCGTAAGGTAGATATAAAGTTCCTTGGTATTGTTCTTTACTAGACTTGGACACAAGGCACTGATTATGTCGTTTTTACGTATCCGTTTGTTTGTAAAGCACTGCTTTCTGATTTTTCATTTCATCGTTTCTGTTTTGGATGATGGTTGGATCCATATTGTAGGTATCGATCAGTGTGTGTCTTCTTTATGTATTCTTTGTAGGCAAGTTATCTTTTCGGCTGACTGACACATCTAAAAAAGGAATTTGTTTCTTCTATTTTTATGATGAACTGGACTTTAGAATCAAAACTGTTTAATGATTTAGGAAATTATGGAGGTCTCTTCTCCAGTGGCTCTAGATTACAAATGTGTCATCTACATACCTCAGACAACGCTTTAGTTGTTTTTCAGCAATTCAAATGGCTTTCTTCAAATTTTGCCATGCAGAAATTGACCACAACTGGGCTGAGTCTTCCAATGGCGACTCCGTCAATTTCTTCATAGAATGTTTGATCCCACTGAAAATATGATGTTGTGAGCGAGTGTCGAAAAAGGTTGGTGAGCTCTGAAAAAACTCCCCTATGTAGCTGACTACTTCTTCGAGTGGCACATTTGTAAAAAAAGAGATGATGTCAAAGCTGACTAGGATGTCGTTACGCTTTATGGTGAAACTCTTTAAGTGTTCGATGTAGTATGTAGAGTCACGTACGTCGATTTTTGACTTGCCTACGTGTGTTTGCAGAATGTCCGCCAGATGTTTGTTTAGATTGTAAGTTGGTACTCCTATGGCATTTAAGATTCTTAGTCGTACATTATCTTTTTGAATTTTTGGTTATTCATATAGTATTGGCGGTAGAGCTTCAGTAGTGCAGGACTCTACAAAATTTCATGCACTTAAAAAAAGTATATATAGGACAAACAAAGAGAAGCATTGGTACACTAAAAACAGGACACAAACGAAGTTGTCGTTTAGGATAAACTGAAAAGTCTGCAGTCGCCAAACACACATTATTCGACAGAGAACACAAGATCCTTTTCGAAAACACCGACCTACTAGCAACATGAAGACATCGAGACAAGATTCCACTTGGATGTTATAGAAATACACAAACATCAAAATAACCTTAAAAGAAAGGAAGAAAAAACAACATTACCTAGGATCTGGCGCACATCATTAAAAAGACGAAAATAAATCCGCCTAATACTAGTCACGCCAAAAACAACTATATAGGATAAGTTCACTAGAAAATATATACCATTTCAAAAAGATTTTAAAATATAGAAGGGGTAAGAGTTGCTTCTATAGGATGGGAAAACTGACAATAACAGCAGTCAATCAAAAGAAACCAAAATTTACAATTAACAAATTAAACATACAATATTTTAAACAAGGACTAACGATTAATGGAATTAAATTTGATTAAAATATTTATCATTAAAAAACTTGAAGAAATAAATATTCAAAAATTAGTGATACCGGCTAAAAAGCTGGGTACTTATTATACAGGGTACTTATTAAAAATAGGACACAAAACAAATGAATATTCTCTGATTAAAAATAATAATACAATTAATCGTTTCCGAAATACGGGTGATAAAGATGAAAATTCAAAAATTATTTTTGGTGTCATAAAATACACGTATCCGCAAAAAATCAGTTAAATAAACTTTGCCAGTGACGTGCGGCATCGGCTAGCAACACATTCATTCCCTCCAAATTTTACGCCACTGGCCAAAAACTTATTAAGACTAATTTTATTTTTTTTATATATTTGTTAAATAATTCATGTACTGTTGACGAGATATTCACACTCAAAAATGGATATTCTTCATAGTTTTTAATATTATAATTTTGAATTTTTTTATAAATATTTTTCAAGAGTAGATGATTTATTAAAAAAAAAACATCATAATTATGGTCCAAATAAGTTCTTGAACCGTGGCGTAAAATTTAGAGTGGATGAAATTGTTACTTAATCATGTCGTACGCCACTGGCAAAGTTTATTTAACTGATTGTTTTGCCGATAGATGTTTCTTATAACACCAAAAATGTTTAACGAATTTATTAAAATTATACTGGAAATAAAAAATTATAGTCATTAATAATTTTTAAATTTTCAATTTTAACACCCTGTGCTTTGGAAACCAGTAATATTTTATCTAGCATATTTCGTTTAATCGTCTTACTTTTATTACAGAATTTTTAGTTGTTTTTTATCCCATTTTTAATAAAACACTCTGTTTATTACCCCCTATTTAAAACGAATTAAAAATTAGGAATAGATCACAGAGTAACGTTTATGAAAATGAAGTACAGATGGCGTTATGCATGAATTTATAAAATATTTAAACAAATTTGAAAAATGTAATGAATTATTTATAATAAAGTTTGAACGAAATCATAAACAAATTATAATTACATTGTAAAATGTACCTGAACTAGACAATCAAAAAGAATTGTTACTAAAAAAAACATAATAATTCATTAGATTTTGTCAAATTTCTTTGAATATTTTAAACATTAATGTATGATCTTCTGTTATTGTTTTTTTTTTAAATAAGGGTGCTCTATGTACGCAAACTTTTAAGCTAGTATATACTAGTTTTGACTTTTTATTTCTTTAAGTTACTACTGATAATATTTTTAAAAATGTTTTTATTAAATTTTTCACAATTTTAGTCGTTAGTCCTCGTTGTGTTGCATGTTTTATTTGTTTAATATTGAAAGGGATCGTATTTAATTCCGTCCCCGTTGAATGGCAATATAAAGCATCCACCTATTCTATCGCTTTTGACCGCGGTAAATTCCAGGAACCAAAGTCGTGGATGCGCTGGAATAGAAGCAGGGAATA